CGATAGCCGGCTCTGCCCTGCCCAGGCCTAAAGCCTCGGGGCCTGGGCAGGGGCCCCCCCATCTCCCTCCAATCGCTGGCTCCGCTCCTGCCCAGGCCTAAAGCCTCTGGCCAAGGCTTTAGGCTTTGGCAGGGGCCCCCTTGGCTCCGATCGCTGGCTTGGCCCTGCCCAGGAGCCCCCTGGCTCAGGCCCTTCCTAGGCTGCTCAGGTCCCACACGGGGCCTACCTTGGAGTGACCTGGGTGCCGATGATTTTCCCTGGACCCAGGCCAGGGACCCAGGCTGCTGGGTACCTACATATGCAAATTAACTGCCATCTTTGTTGGGTTAATTTGCATAGTCGCTCTGATTGGCTGGCGGGTGTAACGGAGTGACAACAATTTGCATGTTTGTCTATTCGTAGGTAAGATAAAAAATGAATAGTTACTCATTTGAAAACCATATGAAAGATTTAGCTGCCTTTTCTCTCCTCCATCCTCATCCTCATCCCCAGGCTCAATTAATGATTAAATGAATATAGGCTTTTTCTTTAGAGAATGGATATTCCCACCATCAGTCATCCTAGAAAGTGGATAATCCCCATGTAGAAAATAAATGGAAACGATAAACTATAAAAGGAGAAGCTTCTATCTCTCTCAGGATCAGGGACCCATTTGGCCCTGGACTTTGAGGTATCGAGAGGCTTTGAGCAGGCTCAGACTGGTGGTGAACTCTGCCCAGGGTAGCAGCAACATCAAGCCTCTGTTTTGTTTTGTTTTGTCAGGAATGGCAGCAGAGACAACAGAAGCTCAGAGAGGGAAACAACCAGCATTTGAGGCCCTGGGGTAAGGAACCCTAGCCTGGAAAGACATTGTATCTGCATTCTAGCCCTAACAAAGAAGTAGGAAGCATGATTAAGATGTTGTCTTTGGACCAAGGGAAAACGTTTCTTTCCTGAAGCTGAAGTGGGACAACAGTGGACATCAATGGGGAGAACTGAGCTCATGATAGCAGAACTTTTCTGAAGGTTAAAGCAGTAAGTTAAGAAGCCCAGAGATGGCCCTGGATAGTATTTCTAAGTGGTTAGAGCATTTGCCTGTACACCAAATGTCTGGGGTTCAATTCCCAGTCACAGGTATGTACCTGGGTTGCAGGTTCTATCCCCGATCCCCGCCCACATTGATGTTTCTATGTCTCTCTCTTCCTCCTCCCCTCCCTCTCTTCCTTCTAATCTATCTAAAGTCAATGGAAATATCCTTGAGACTGACATACCTCAATGTGGGGTTGGGGGGGGGGGGGGAGGGGAGAAGAAGGCCAGAGGGGGATGCATGGGTGCTCTCTTTTAGAGCTTTATCTATAAAATAGTACAAGTAAAGTTTCAGATATAGTTGAGAGCCCTTTGAGAGAAGTGACTCCAGCAAGCAGGCTGGTAGGAGAGAATGCTGTCCTAATTTTGGTATAACCTGGAAGGATGGATACTTTCCATTATAGTCATAGACTGAGAAGCTGGAAATAGATGCATTACAGAAATAGCTTTTAAAGGGCGAAGTAAACCCTGTGTCTGTGGATTGATAGTAAGTTTACTGATAGAAGCTGAAACACGTCCTGACCTTTAGAGACCGATACTGGAGAAACCAGACTTCCCTTCTACAAAACTCCCTTGGTACTTCTGCTGGGGTTAGAATACAGGATTAGTGGGTATGAAAACATTTATGGATTTCTGTTTTTGTTGAGGTCCTGCAATTCATTTTCCTTGAACTGAAGACAAGAATAATTCTTGGAACTTTCACAAGGTTGATGTGATGCCCTGATTCCTATTTTGGTTTAATGAAACGGAATCTCATTAAGGGCCAAAGCAACTTTCATTAGTCATATGAGCTTTGCACGTTTACCAAGAACTTGCCCTCCGCTCTGGCAAAAAAGAAGGGCTGTGTGTGCCAGCTGAAACGACATCACCTGACTAGCTCTAATATAAGGTGGAGGCTGGGCTAAGTTTATGCAAGCAGTGCACGCAAGCATCATCTAAAAATATCGCTGTGAGTTATTAACTTGGATAAGATACATTTCTCAAGATTTTAAAAAATATCAAGAGTAGCTTAATATATTAAGAGGTGTTCTTTTTTTAACAGCTCCAGAAGATACATTTCTGAGAGACTATTGACTCTCATACAAATTTCTTCTGTTCTTAGAATATGTTAATCAAACTTTAGGGGTCTAATTAGCTTAGTAAATCAAGATGATAACCTGGGAGAGACTGGGACTTAAGGTTTTAAGTAAATTCTTCTATGAACCAAATCCTCCTGAATATGGTTGAAGCCTAAAGTGTCAGGCTCTCTCCTGGTTGCTACCACCATTTATGTATGACTGGGTTCAAAAATTCCACTTCAGGGACATTTTATTTCTCCACAGACATAATCATTACTCCCTCCTCAGGAATTTGGGAGCCTGCCTCAAGGAGAAGTCTTTTTCCACATGAGGAAGGAGATTCCATACAGTCTGTTCTCCCTAATCTGTTCCTATGCTATCTGACCAAAGAATGCATCTGAGGAGCCCCAACTGCCATACCTCTCTGTCCTCTTTTGACCTTTCTACTTAAACTTGAAGCAATCTCCAACAGCATGTGACTCAGGCAGCATAATGTCAGGGATCAGGGCTGAACTATTCTAGCACAGTGGATTAGCAGCCAAAGAGCGGTTCCTCTGACTCGGACTACCCAGGGTTCTCTGAGGATTTATTCTCTGGCAGCCATGCCACTCAGGCTGTAATAGCTATGTAATTCTCAGGGGTAATTCTGAATTAGAACATGGCAAAATCCATGATGGATGAGCTCATTTTCTGGGTGCAGTATTTGGGCACATTACCTCAACTAGATGGTCTTCAATGAAACCTCCAAGAAAGAGTAGGGTTTTTGTTTGTAATTCCTTCCAACTTAACTCTGTTATGGTTGTCATTCCATTGCACACCACGACCAGCAGCGCTTGATCAAGCATAGGGTTACAGGGATGGTAAACTGTTTGCTACATCATGAGGTCAGACAGTGTAATGTTACCTTTAATGAGCACTACAGGATGGGTGTGGGGTGTATATCATCCAGTGCCCCCACTGTATCTTTGAGATCAATATCACAAAAGGAAATATCTATGGGGACATTCAGAAAACTGAACATAGGCATGGATTTTTTAAAAAGATAAGTCTATTTCTACAACAGGCAAATTAGATTAGTCTTCTTCCAATTTATCAATAACAGAGAAACAGTTTTTAGGCAAATAACTTCCTATGTAATAATTCAATGATAATTAAATTGTTACAATTAGTCAAACACTAATGAACCAATTAACTTGCATAAAATTAGTCAAAGTGTGGATCCTTATGCTGACAGAAAGAAAGAGAAACAAACCTGACTTCTGGCAACCTTATACTGTTTTTCCGGTTTTTCTCAGAATAAACGTCATCAGAATTGGCTTCTTCCTTTAAAGCAATTCTCTTAATTGGGTTGCACCTAATTATAGTAGCAACATGGCCAAAGGGCAATAATTCTGCACTGATTGAAGCATCTCAAAGAAACCACTGCAAAACGTACCTGGAGTTTGGGGATGATTTGAGATTTCTTCCCCTGGTACTTCATGGAGACCGTGCTTACTTTCGTTGTTCAGGGTGTATTTTGGTTCTGTCTGTCCAGGAGCAGAGGTAAGTCAGCTATGTGCCCTTTGATTTTCCAGAATTCTCCTCTGAGATTTAGAGGGCTGTGCTCCTCCTGCTAAGACAAATTCATTTCATTAATGCTGTGGTTTTCCCTTTCAGAAGTAAATGTAGGAAAACAGTTTGAACGTTCCTCAAAAGGTTAAACATGGAATTATTGTATGACCCAGTGGTTTCACTCCTAGGTATAAAAACAAAAGAATTGCAAAGAGGTACTCAAATACGTGTACATAAATGTCCATAGCAGCAGTATTCACAATAGCCAAAAGGTGAAAACAACTCATCGATGAATGAATGGATAAATTGTGGTATCAATATATAATGGAACATTATCCTATATAATAAAAGGCTAATATGTAAATCAACTAAATGGAGGAAGGACTGGTCACTATGACGCGCACTGACCACCAGGGGAAAGATGCTCAATGCAGGAGCTTCCCCCTGGTGGTCAGTGCACCAGAAGCTGGGCTCACGACTGGCAAGCGCAGCGGCGGTGGTGGGAGCCTCTCCCACCTCTGCGGCAGCACTAAGAATGACCGACTGTGAGAGGGTACAGGCTGGGCTGAGGGACACCCCCCCCCCGAGTGCATGAATTTCGTGCACTGGGCCTCTAGTTCAATCATAAAAAAGGAATGTAATGCTAATACATAGTACAAAGTGGATGAACCTTGAACATGTGTTAAGTGAAAGAAGCCGGGTAGGTCACATATTGTATGAGTCCATTTGTATGAAATATCCAGAATAGACAAACTCATAGAGACAGAAAGCAGACTGATGGTTGCCAGAACCTGGAGGTAGTTAGGTATAGGATGTCTTTATGGGGCAAGAAAAATATTTTGGAATTTAATATGAATGGTGGTTGAACAATGTTGTGAATGTATGAAATGTCACTAAATTGTTTACTTTAAAATGGCTAAGTTTTATGTCATATGAATTTCACCTTAATAAAAATAATCTAAAAATAAATACAAAACAGCAATTTATTCAATTCTCTGCATGAAGTACTCTGCAGCAACTCAGAATATCCTTCCATCCTAAGTAACAAGATTATAAGCCATCGGTAGAGAAACAACTGTTTGTACCAGTTCCTGACAATGAGAAGCTACTTCAGCCACATGTAACATGCCAGATTCATCAAGAGAAGCCTGATAGTTCACCAAGGAGAGAAATGATATTTGGTCCTCTTATTTGCTGGCAGCTGTTTCAAACAGATTAGCCATTCATCTCTCTGAAAGCTGTAGAGCTTGAGATTAAATTTTTTTCATGCTTTTAAAAATATTATTTCCAATATAAAATTGATATACTGGTTCTTATGAAAAGAAATCTTGCAATTGGTGATCTGCAAAAGAAAAAAATGACCTACTTCTGCTCATACATTCCATTGCATTTAAATTATTAGTGCAAAGATAAAGTCAAGAATTCTCTACTTCTCAGGGTCAGGGGGTGTCAGAATTGCCATTCACCATAAAATCAAAGGGGCAACAACAATAATGAGGCTTGGGGGGGCAGTGAAAGGAAGAAAGGCAACGGTACAGGGATATAGTGTTCAAAGCATGTCACATGGTGTGGTGATCATCTGACCTCCCTTTCCAGAAGAAAAAGGAAGCAAACTTAAATGCACAGAGGAGCTTTTATGCAGCATTAATATTTTCTTGCTGCAAGAATTAAAAGAGGCTGAAGGAAGACATTAAAGGAGGCTACAAATTTCTTCAGGAGGTATTTACACTCTAGGAAGCTGATAGCTGTGAAGTGACCATTCACTTCTCTGACGCTGGGATTGCCGCAACAGATCAGATCAAGATCTTTTTTATCTTTTCTTTAGAGAAGTTAACTATGTGACTGGTATCTTTAATAGACCTCTCTACCTGAATCTAGCATAATTCCCTCATGAATACTTTATGCTGGTCCTAATCTTTGGGGATAAGACACAAAGTCATTATTTATAAAACGATCTTTCACAGTTGAAGCTGACTGCAAATAGCTCATCCCTACCCCAGATAAGTTTCCCATTCTATGGGTAAAAGAATTTTAGTTCTTAACTTGATCATTTTGTGGTATTCTCATCACTATTTTAAAACTCTTTACTAGTATTATCCTCTGAAATAATCTATATGTTTGGGCAACCTAACTTGAAAAGAAGCATAAAAGCTATCTGAATAAATTTGCAAAAAATAACAAAATCGATTTGAGTAGTTCGCATACTTGGTTCTAAGGACAGTTGCTATTGTTCTATGATCCTCGTTTGGAAGAGGCTGGGATGGGGATGAGGGAAGCCTGGGAGCAAGGAGGAGAAATGCTATGGATGTGCTGCCACATGCGTACTTTATTAGGAAATAAAAACTAGTCCTGGAGCCAAGAATTGACCCTTCAGCCAAGAATTCCTCAAATTAGATATTATGAACTTAGATATTATGTCTTACTCTTTTTCTACTTTCATATTTTACAAGGCCAAAGGCAAAGAAACAACAAATGGTTTACTTATACACAGCCAACCAGTAGTAAAACTGAAGTTAGAATTTAGAAGTACTTCAATACCAATCTAGTGCTCAGTCTACTGAACTAGGTAGAATGCCCATAATTGGAAGCCCAGTTAATATAATACATTGTAATGATATTCGCATTAGCACTCTGCAAAAAGTATCTTGTTATCTCATTCTGGTAGTAATTTGATGTTTTGATCAAATTGACATCTCCAAATTCCCTTAATTATAAGATTTCTTAAAAGGACTTATAAAGCAATAATGCAAAGCCAGACTATAAACTTCAATATCTGAATAACAAGTAATTTTCACAATACTTGCATTTATTGTTCTTATGTGTCTTTATGGCACAAAAGTTATATTGGTGATTGAAGTATGAAGTCTCTGGACACCTCTTTGGTGGGGGGAAAGATCAGCATGTAAGTCTGTCAAAATCATGTGATACACTCAGTTTTAGGATTCTAGTATAAGAATCTCAGGCCAAAGGCTAGATTTGCTTCCATACCTTTCAGTTTCAAGAAGAATTACAGTGCATCACACTTTGGAGCTAATAAAATTCTTAGCTAAGATCTGAGTCATATGGAAAAACAAATGAGCTGGAAAACAGGGAATAAACTATGATGAAATTTATTTTCAAAGGAAAAATTATAATCGCTTCATTATGAAGGGAGGATAAAAGGGAGCATCATCATCAAGAGAGCAAAAGATAAACAAGAAAAATGGAATGTGAAATTTGGACAAGAAAGAAACAAGATGGGTCTATCTCAAACTATGTTGAAATCTATTTTTTATAGGGTAAGTCCCAAGCAGTCAGCAGCAGTCCTTTGGAGTGAAAAGAACTCCAGGATAAAAGGAATCCATGGAATAGTAAGGCTCTGGCAAACACCTGCTTTCCATCACCACGGGGGAGTATAGCTCCATATTAATAAATGGGGTTATAAATCTTTATGAGCACAACTCTAGGGAGGCAGTGGTTTCTAGCTTCACCCAGGATATTTGGAGAACTCTTGGAAGGTCACTGGGTTATGCCCTTATAAAACAAGGACTTGGCCAACTGAAACACTATGGGTATGATGTACTGGTAATAAGAATGGCCAATGGGGTAGCAAGCCATGCTGAGCATAGCAGGTGGCATCATGGACGGGCTTCAACGTCAGCAGAAGTCATTCATGCAAGAGGCAATACTAAGAGTTACTCTAGGAGTTAAGACAAGGTGAGAACCAAAAGGAGGAACCAGATCATGGAGTCAAGAGCAGAACTCAAGTCCAGTGGCAACATTTGATTGGGAGCTGAAGCAGTGGTAGCCAGATATCTTAGACAAGAGCAAAGAATGCGATATTGGGGAAGTGGGGAGAATTAAAAAACAATTACCTAATATTTTGATTTTGGCTTTTTTTTTGCCTACCCAATTGTCGTTTTTTTTTTTTTTTTTTTTTTTTTTTTTTGCCTACCCAATTGTCATGGGTTGAATGATAGCCCTCTAAAAGATATGTTCATGTAGCAACTCTTGGGACTGTGAATGTGCCCTTATTTGAAAAAAGGGTCTCTGCAGATGTAATTAAGTTTAGTATATTAAGATACAGTCATCCTGCATTAGCTGGGTGGGCCCTAAGTCCAATGACAAGTATCCTTATAAGAGATAGCAGAAAAGAAAACACAGTTGAAGAGGAGGAGAAGGCCATGTGAAGACAGAGGCAAAGACTGGAGTTATGTTGCCACAAGTCAAGTAAAATATGGAGCAACCAGAAGCTGGAAAAGGCAAGGAGAATTCTCCTCGAGAGCCTTGGAGGGAGCACAGTCCTTCACGTCAGATTTCTGGCCTCCAGAACTGTGAGAGAATAAATTTCTATTGTTTTAAGCCACCAAGTTTGTGGTCATTTGTTATGGCAGCCCTAAGAACGAATACACCAATTATACTGTGATTCTTATGAAAGGGTACCCTGAAAAACACAATGACTTCTATCACCACCATCTATCTCTTCAGTCTTCCCAGCCAAACACACACACTGCAACAGCCCCAAACAAGGGCCCCTAAAGTGGAAGATGGGTGTGTCAGAGTACCGAGCAGAAATATGCCTGCGCTCAATCTATCCTTTAGATCTATATCCCTCCTCACTCCTAACTGCTGGGGGTTTTTGTTACCTACTACAGAAGTAGCAGAAATGGTATATACAGGAGAAAACAAATGTGTTATTACTTAGTAAGTGTGATTTGTTTAAAGTAAGTGAGATTTGTTTAAAGCATTAAATTTTTCAAAACATAGAGCATAAAATTAAAAAGAGTCCTTAGTGGTAAGAAGAATTAGAACTACAGTTCTAATTAACTTGGTTTTGTGATGATCTATGGGGTGATGATGGGATCTCCTAAGATCAGGTTCAAATTGTACCAAGACAGGGCCATTCTATACACTGGGACTGTTGCATGTATTTTTTATTGTTGAATGTATTAATTAAGGGAACTCTTGAGAATAAAAAGTGCCTGGTAATTTGGAACTATGCTAAAAATTTATATCATTCTTGTATATCAAACACCCAAGCCTTCAATGAATAAACTTACAATGTGAGTTCCAATACCA